CGCTGTTACTTTTTTAGCAGCTTTACTGAGATAACTCATATACCATACAATTCACCCATTCAAAGTGTGGTATTTAATAGTTTTTATTACATTCACAGAGTTGTGTGACCATCACCCTAATCAATATTAGGACAGTTTCATCATCATAAAAGGAAGTTCTTACCTATTGACAGTCGCTTCTCATTTCCCCCTCTGCCAGCCCTCACCAGGAATCTAATTCTGTCTCTATAGATTTGCCTATCCTGGACATTTCATATAAATGGAACCATATATAGCCTTTTATTTCTGGTTTCTTTCCCATAGCATGTTGTCTTCAAGGTCGATCCATGTTGTAGCATGTGTCATAGCTTCATTTCTTTTTATGGCTGAATAATGTTCCATTGTATGGATAGACCACATTTATCAGTTAATGGCCATTTGGCCTATTTACACTTTTTGAGTCTTATGAATAATGCTACCGTAATATTCATATACAAGTTTTTATGTGAACATATGTTGGTTTGAGGACATATATAGCTGGGAACAGAATTGCTGGGTCATATGGAGCTCTATATTTAACCTTTTTTGAGAAAGTACCAGGCTGTTTAGTACAGGCACGACATCATTTGAAATTCTTACCAGCAGGGTTTGAGTTTTCCATTTTCTCTACACCCTCATGGTTTTAAGTTGTATTTCCCTAACAGCTAATGATGTTGAGCATCTTGTCATGTACTTATTGGCCATTTGTATACTTCTTTGGAACAGTATCTATTTAAATCCTTGATTCTCTAATTGGGTCGCCTTTTTATTATTGAGTTGTAAGAGTTCTTTATATATTCTGTAGGCAAATACCTTATCAAATATATGATTTCTGTGAGTTGTCTTTTCACTTTCTTGACAGTGTCATTGGAAGCACAAAAGTTTTTAATTTTGATGAAGCCCAATTTATCAGTCTCCTCTTGCATTTTTGTGTCACAGCTAAGAAGGCTTTCCCTAATCCAAAGCCACAAAAATTTACTTCTGTGAGCTTTTCTAAAAGTTTTGTAGTTTTAGCTCTCATACTCATTCTTTTATCCATATAGGGTCAGTTTTTCTGTAGTGTGAAATAGTGGTCAAACATCACATCATTCTTTTGCTTGGGAATATTCAGTTATCACAGTACCATTTGTTAAATAGACTGTTCTTTCTCCATTGAAGTCTCTTTAATGGAAGAGACTTCATAACTGAGGGTGGTATTTTTTTTTTTTTTCCTGAACTGTCAATTTAATACCTTGGTGGTAAGTTTTGAAATCAGAAGAGTGAATCCTCCAGTTTTGTTCTTTTTCAAAATTATTTTGGTGATTATGAGTTCCTTGCATTTTCATATGGATGCTAGGATTAGCTTGTCCATTTCTGAAAAAAAAAAATGAAATTTCATAGAGGTTGCCTTGAATCTGTAGATCAATTTAGGGAATATTGCCATCTTAAAAATATAGTCTTCTGGGGGCGCCTGGGTGGCTCAGTGGGTTAAGCCTCTGCCTTCGGCTCAGGTCGTGATCTCAGGGTCCTGGGATCGAGCCCCGCATCGGGCTCTCTGCTCAGCACTGAGCCTGCTTCCTCCTCTCTCTGCCTGCCTCTCTGCCTACTTGTGATCTCTCTCTGTCAAATAAATAAAATCTTAAAAGAAAAAAAAAATATATAGTCTTCTGGTCCATGATAAAGGGTATCTATTTATTTAGGTCTCTAAATTCTTTCAGGAATGTTTTAGAGTTTTCTGAGTATAAGTTTTATACTTCTTTTGCTAAATTTATTCCTAAGTATTTTTCATTTTGATCTATTATAAATGGATTTTTTTTCTTAATTTCCTTTATAGATTGTTCACTCCTACTATATATAATCAATACATTGATTTTTTTTTTTTTTAAGTGGGAAGGGGCAGAGGGAGAGAAAGAATTTTAAGCAGGCTTCATGCCCAGCATGGAGCCCAAAGTGGGGCCCCATCTCATCACCCTGAGATCATGACCTGAGCTGAAATCAAGTGTCACTTAGCCAACTGAACTACTCACATTGGCCTCCTTGCTCGATAGAGAGCCTGCTTCTTCCTTTCCATCTGCTTGCAGCTCTCCCTGCTTGTGCTCTCTTTCTTGCTCACTCTCTGTCAAATAAATAAATAAAATCTTAAAAAAAAAAAAGGTTTTATTTTTTAAGTAATCTTTCCACCCAACACGGGACTCGAACTCACATCCCTGAGGTTGAGTCTCATGTCTACTGACAGACACCCCAGTTACGTCTCATTCTTATCATAATTTGTACAGCCTAAAAATAAAAACTTTTAGAGCAGACTGGACTTGCAAAATCCCCAGGTACAACATTTATCAGAAATAATGGTCCCTTCTCCAATCAACCAAGAGTTAGATGAAGTGTTCATGTAAGCATTTCATTTGAAACCCTGAGATTCATAGTTGCTGTTCTGACTTACTGCCTTCAACTCTCCATTCTACCTTCTGTTTCTAAGAGTTGGTCTATAGGTATCTAATATTAGTAGAGTCAGGCAATATTTGTCTTTTTGTGACTGGTTTATTTCACTTAGTATAATGTCTAAAAGGTTCATGTGTGTTGGCGTGTATGACAGGATTTCCTTCCTTTTTTTTTTTTTAAAGATTTTATTTATTTATTTGACAGAGAGAGAGATCACAAGTAGGAAGAGAGGCAGGCAGAGACAGAGGGGGAAGCAGGCTCCCCGCTGAGCAGAGAGACCAATATGGGGCTCAATCCCAGGACCCTGAGATCATGACCAGAGCCGAAGGCAGAGGCTTTAACCCAGTGAGCCACCCAGGCGCCCGATTTCCTTCTTTTTAAGACTGAGTAATAATTTTTTGTATGTATATACCACTTTTTCTTCAGTCATTCATTCTGTCAGTGGACGTTTAAGTTGCTTTCATCTCTTGGCTATTGTGGATAATGCTGCAATGAACATAGATGTAAAATATCTCAATAATCTAATTTCAGTTATTTTGGCTATATACTAAGAAATGAGTCTTTTCCCCATTTTTTAACTGGGTTTTTGTTTCCTTATTGTTGAGTTTTAAGAGTTCTTTGTATATTTTAGATATTAGTCCTTTATCAGATATGTGCTTTTCATATATTTTCTCCTACTCCGTGGCTTGTCTTTTCATTCTTTTAACAGTGTCTTTCAAAAAGCAGAAGTTTTTAACTTAAAACTTACCGATTTTTTTTCATGGATCACACTTTTTGTGTTGTATCTTTTTAGATTACCTAGGTTTTCTCTTAAAATGTCTTCTGCAAGTTTATACTTTTGCATTTTACATTTAGGTCTAAGGTCCCTTTTGAATTAATTTTTGTGGAAAGTGTAAGGTCTTCCAAAAGAAAACACCAGGCCTGAAGGGTTCATTGGTGAATTCTACCAAACATTTAAGGAAGAAATTCCCCACAATCTCTTTCAGAGGGCAGAAGCAGCGGGAATACTTTCTCATTCTGTGAGGCTAGTATTACCCTAATACCAACACCAGACGAAGACCTTATAAGAAAAGGTAGACCAGGGGCACCTGGGTGGCTCAGCAGGTTAAAGCCTCTGCCTTCGGCTCAGGTCATGATCCCAGGGTCCTGGGATCAAGCCCCACATCAGGCTCTCTGCTCAGCTGGGAGCCTGCTTCCCTTCCTCTCTCTCTGCCTATCTCTCTGCCTACTTGTGATCTCTGTCTGTCAGATAAATAAATAAAATCTTAAAAAAAAAAAAAAGAAAGAAAAGAAAATGTAGACCAATATCTCTCATGAATATAAATGCAAAAGTCTTCAACAAGTATTAGCAAATCAAATCCAAAAAAGTATAAAAATAATTATGTATCATGACCAAGTGCGATTTATCCCAGATATGTAAGGCTGGTTCAGTATTCTAAAATCAGTTAATGTCATCCATCCCATCAAGAAGCTAAACAAGAGGGGCACCTGGGTGGCTCAGTGGGTTAAAGCCTCTGCCTTCAGCCCAGGTCATGATCCCAGGATCCTGGGATCGAGCCCCACTTTGGGCTCTCTGCTCAGCAGGGAGCCTTCTTCCCACCCCCCATCTCTGCCTGCTTCTCTGCCTACTTGTGATCTCTGTCCATCAAATAAAATCTTTAAAAAAAAAGAAAGAAGCTAAACAAGAAAAATCATATGAATCTATCAAGAGATGCAGGAAAGTCATTTGACAAAATCCAATACCCATTTCTGATTTAAAAAAAAGAAAAGTAGGAGTAGAGGGGAATATTCTCAACTTGATAAAAACTGTCTACAAAAAATCTGTAGCTAATATGCTTAATAATGAGAAACACAGAGTTTTCCCATTATGATCAGGAACAAGGCAAGGATGTCCTGTCCCCTCTTGCCATTCCTTTTCAACATCATACAAGCAATTCTTGCTAATGCAGTAAGTTAAGAAAAGGAAGTAAAAGGTATACAGATAAATGGTTGACAGGAGGAGGGGGAGGGGATGAATAAGCAGAGCAAAGAGAATTTTTAGGGCATTGAAAATACTCTGTATATTATAATGACAGATATATGTTGTTACACATTTGTCCAGACCTATAGAATTCACAACACCAAGAGTGACCCCTAAAGTAATCTATGGACTTTGAGTGATTATGATGTGTCAGTGTAGGTTCATTCTTGGTCGGAAAAAATAAAGTACTATCTAGTGAGCGATGTTGATAAGAGGGGAGGCTGTTTGTATGTGGGGGCTTAACACGTCCTAGTCAAAACTGAACCTTTCTTTGACCTGTGCAGCCTTTTCAGAGCATAAAAAGGAATGGAATATTGGGCCTTAGCTCATCCAGCCCAGTGTTCTGCCTATGACTTGAGGGGTCATTTTATGGGAAAACAGAATGGTATATACTTCAAAGGCTATAATATTGTTTTGAAATATACTTTTCCAAAACTGCAGGTGGCTTTTATAACTTTCTGCTTATTTATCAGCATAAATTGCTGACATTTTCTTATACTGCTATATTAATTACTTTTGATCTTTGCCCTCTTTGTGGTCCTAGGTTGGTTCATTCTGGCTCCGGATGTCGATCACCCTCACTTGGATCTGACCTCACGTTTGCTACCAGAACAGGCTCTCGGCAGGGCATTGAGATGCATCTCTTCAGGGTGGAGACACATCGGGATCTGTCGACCTGGACCAGGATACTTGTTCAGGGTTGCCATGCTGCTGCTGAGCTACTTAAGGAAGTCTCTCTAGGTATAGATCCTGACACACCATTTCTAATAGTAATTACATGGAAATGTTATATTTTGTTTAAAGTAAAAACCAGGGGAGTGCCTGGGTGGCTCAGTGGGTTAAAGCCTCTGCCTTCAGCTCAGGTCATGATCCCAGGGTCCTGGGATCGAGCCCCACATCGGGCTCTCTGCCCAGCAGGGAGCTTGCTTCCCCCCCCCCCCCCGCCTGCCTCTACTTGTGATCTCTGTCTGTCAAATAAATAAATAAAATAAAATAAAAATAAAGTAAAAACCAGGGACGTCTGGGTGGCTCAGTTGGTTGAGTGTCTAACTCGTAATTTCAGCTCAGGTCATAATCTCAGGGTCCAGAGATTGAGCCCCACGTTGGGCTCCGCACTGGGTGTGGAGCCTACTTGGGATTCTCCCTTTCCTTCTCCTTCTCCCTCTGCCCCTCCCACTCGTGCTCTCTCTCTCTCTCTCAAATGAATAAATAAATCTTAATTAAAAGGGGCGCCTGGGTTGAGCATCTGCCTTCCACTCAGGTCATGATCCCAGGGTTCTGGGATCATGTCCAGCATCAGGACCCTGCTCAGCAGGGAGTTTGCTTCTCCCTCTCCCTCTGTCTGCCACACCCTTGCTTATGTTCTCTCTCTCTCTGTCAAATGAATAAATAAAATCTTTAAAACAAAATCTTAAAAAAAATAATAAAGTAAAAACCATTATCGTATGGGCCAGACTCAAAAATATTCTAAAATATGGCAGCATAAAATGATCTTGATGGAAGAAACCTGGTTCTTCTGTTTCAGTAGTAAAGTTTCCCTAAACCTTATATATGGCTCCTTTATAACACCCTCTGTACAACGTGGCAGTTTTGGTGTTCATTGTTTTAATCTGTATATGAGAGCGTAAGGACTGATTTACTAAGTACTAGATGCACTAACCTTCTGTTCAGAAGATTTAGTCTAAGATATGGATAGACACCCTTAAAATATGGGCATATGACAAGGCTTATGGCTATAGAAAAATAAGGAATTTTGAGTAAGAGTTTGTCTTCAAATTTTGAAATAAGCATCTAAAGGAGAGAAGCCTGGTGGTGTCTTTTCATTGTTGAAGCGCCCTCTTGTGGCTAGTCCTTATGGCTTCATTTGTATATATATGTATGTACATGTGTAGGTATTTCCAGATTGTTTTCCATTTTTTTTAATTTTTTTAAAAGATTTTATTTATTTATTTGACAGATAGAGATCACAAGTAGGCAGAGAGGCAGGCAGAGAGAGAGAGAGGAGGAGGCAGGTTCCCTGCTGAGCAGAGAGCCCGATGTGGGGCTCGATCCCAGGACACTGGGACCATGACCTGAGCCAAAGGCAGAGGCTTCAACCCACTGAGCCACCCAGGCGCCCCAGATTGTTTTCCATTTTAACAAGAACAAAGAATAGTCAAAGATATAGAGTTTCTAATATGGTTTGAATTAATTTGATCTTTTTAAAAATATTTTATTTATTTGAGAGAGAGTGAGAGAGAACATGAAAGGGGGGAGGGTGAGAGGGAGAAGCAGACTCTCCACTGAGCCGGGAGTCTGATGCGGGGCTCTATCCTGGGACTCCGGGATTATGACCTGAGCCAAAGGCAAATGCTTAATCGACGGAACCATCCAGGTAACACTAATTTGAGTATCTTGGTTCCAATACAGTTTACTTAATTTTGCTCCTGTTTTCTATGTATTTTATTTTATAAACAGTTTTATAGAATTTTATAAAAAGAGAAAAGTTTAAAGGGAAGAATGTCTTGTAATTTATCTTTCTTTCCATTGCTTTTGGAAAGTGAGAGATCTCCATGGCTTTAGAACTGCATAGGTAACATTTCCATGGGTCATCTTCTAACACTGGCAGAGGGAGAATTTTTTAAATGTTGTCAAAATGACATAATTCTTCAACTCATTAGTAATTGGTTGATATTTTCCTTACAACCACAGTGATGATTCAAGTAGTGACACCAGTGACTAGTAAGACCCCACCTTGGATTTCAACTAAAGCCACCATATCCACACTTTCTCATCTTTGTGTTTCCCACCCATTTTCACTATAGAGTGGTTGGTGACCACATTAAGGGCTTCAGGGCTCTGGTTTTAGTCTTGGGCACAGAATGTGCATTCTGGGTTGTGTCCTCAATGTGATGGTCTATAGTGCTCTCTGTTCCTTTGGGGAGCCCAAGAACATTCAGTAGGCCCTTTACTGACATCTGAGATCACCATATCGTCTTTAAGAATCCAGAGAGAAGGGCACCTGGATGGCTCAGATGGTTAAGCGTCTGTGTTCGGCCCAAGTCATGATCCCAAGGTCCTGGGATTGAGCCCTGCATCAGGCTCCCTGCTCAGCGGAGAGTCTACTTCTCCCTCTGCCCATCCCCCTTACTCATGCTCGCTCTCTCACTCAAATAAATAGATGAAATCTTAAAAAAAAAAAAAAGAATCCAGAGAGATGTGTTTCCCAAAACAAAGAATGCATTTTAGATTTTTAACATTTTTCACTTTCCTATTGTTGCTCTGGTGTCTGGCAGCTAAACTTCTGGCTGGAAACAACAATCTGTCCAGTCCCCAGCTCACGGTTGTTTAAATACAGATGGCTTGACGGGAGAAAGAATAAGGATTGGTTGGGTCCTTATACTTTATTTTCTGGTAATTTTGAACCTTTTTATTCCCACTTACAGCTGTATTTTAATATTACCTTGGTAATACTTTCATTTCCACAATTCAGGTCAACTGATATACTTACTAATCACTTACTCTGTATTTAGAACTGTGCCACATGTCCTAAAGTGGCTGAAAGTAAACTGCTTTGATAAGAGCCAGAATTCCTTTAAAATGCATTTGTGTGTGTGTGTGTGTGTGATACACCTGATCTGTGTCTTAATATGTGTGTGCTCAATGTGCACATCCTCATTTGCGTATACAAACGTACATACATAAGCATGTCCTGCAGATGCATGTTATCACTTGGTGTTATTGTTGGGAGATTCAGAAAGGTTTATTTAAAACTATAATTATGGCACATTGTACTACCTATTCAGGTATCTGTGGCCTAAAGAACATCAGAACATTGACAAGAAGAAATCATAAATTTAAGCTCTGTTTCTTTGTCTCTTATGTGTATTGGCTATGGTTTACTCATTTATTTATTTCTTTGTATAGTATACTCATTTAGAAAAATTTCAGTAACTACCTTTAAGATTTTGCTAGTGAGCACAACACATGAACTTCATAATGTTTCATTTAGTTTTATTTATTTATCTTTAAAGATTTATGGGGTACCTGGGTGGCTCAGTGGATTAAAGCCTCTGCCTTCGGCTCAGGTCATGATCCCAGAGTCCTGGGATCGAGCCCCACATCGGGCTCTCTACTCAGCGGGGAGCCTGCTTCCTCCTCTTTCTCTGCCTGCCTCTCTGCCTACTTGTGATCTCTGTCTGTCAAATAAATAAATAAAATCTTAAAAAAAAAAGATTTTGTTTATTTACTTGTCAGAGAGAGAGAATGAGGGAGAGAGGGAAGCAGAGGGAGATGCAGGCTCCCTGCTGAGCAAGGAGCCCAATGCAGAACTCAATCCCAGGACCTTGCGATCATGACCTGAGCCAAAGGCAGACGTTAACCCACTGAGCCACCCAAGTATCTGTATAATGTTCATTTAGTTTTAAACCTTTGTTAGATTACAGTAGAATTGGTATATGATCCTTCCAGAACACAGGACTTTTTCCTTTTAGCAAATATGAACCTCAAGATCACTAAGCAGAAAATACAGTTAATTCTTTGATATATTTAAAACCATCTTCCATTTGTTATAGGAATTCAAAGTATGAAAATACATATATGTATATATTTGTTTGAACTTTAATGAATTTTCTTTTAAAGGCTAATTTCATCATACCAGTTACCCAAACTTTACAATTTTTAAATCAAAGAACTTTATGGAGATACTCTGCATTTCTATAGTTTTGGTGTTATAAAGGCTAAGTAGTAGTAGATACAGAAGGATTTGCTTTAGTAAAAATGTAGAAAATCTCCAAAAGGAGAAGAAAAATGAGCATTTTGAAGTGTTTATATTGTTAGCATATATAACGAAAGAGTTTGTTTTTACCGTGTTCTCAATTTTGTAAAATTCTCTTGAATTTTTATTCAGCTACTGGGCAAATATGGATTGAGTGTATACTCTGTACTTGTATTGGCTATACTAAAATAGAGTAGGCATAGCCCCTGCCTTTGAAATTGAAAGGACAGAAGCAGAGGAATAACGAGTACTTACCAGGGTTGTTATAAGTCATAAATTGAATGTATGTTTCCTCTGACCATACACACACACACTTCTAAGCCTCTATTTTTTTTTAAGATTTTATTTATTTGTTTGACAGACAGTGATCACAAGTAGGCAAAGAGGCAGGCAGAGAGAGAAAAGCGGAAGCAGGCTCCCTGCTGAGCAGAGAGCCAGATGCGGGGCTCGGTCCTAGGACCCTGAGATCATGACCTGAGCCGAAAGGAGAGGCTTAACCCACTGAACCACCAAGGCACCCCATAAGCCTGTATTTTTAAGATGAAAGAACTGGGATTAATGTTGTGAGGGCTTGAATTGGGTCTTTTCTGACTCCAAAACCAGTGCCTTAAGCTCCTGATTTCTCCCCCCCAAATGACTCATTCTTATGCGCAGATTAAACTCCTAGAGGACATATACAGTATCATTTTCTCTTAATTCATTAAATCAACAAATATTTATTGAGTGTTTTTTTACTTACAGAGTGCTGTGCTTTGTAATGGGAGAAATAAAAATAAATAAGACCTACTTCATGCCTTTGACCAAATAGCTATAAGAAAGGAACATAGTGTCATGTTCTTTGTAAGCCTGGGCATGATCAACCCATTGATTTGGCTGGCATTTTTCATGTGCAGGAACAGATAATATTGCTTCAGCCTTTCTCCAAGAGAGTCCTGGGCAATCAGGCCAGGTTGAACCCACAAAGCCCATTACCTTCTGGATTTTT